GTGGACAAAGTGAAGTTTAATGTCTGCTTCATTTTCAACTTCAAGGCTCATGTGTTTTAGTCTCTCCCAGAATTATTTTTCTTTCAATCAAAATTATGGAAGGTGTTTAGGTATTTACCATACATGTAATTTGCCTTCTTCAGCTAAAACATAAGCTCAATGGCAAAAGTAAACACTGACTCCTAACACTCTCCTGCTTTGGCTTGCTGTGGCGCTGTGGCTCTGGGTAGTGGCAAAGGAACAGAATCCTGAGTTCAGTGCTATTGGGAATCTGGGGGTAGCAGCCACTAACTATGCCATTAGGCAGTCCCCGTGAAATTCCAGGCAGGAAAAATTTCAACAGAAAGCCCTCAAAGTATCTCCCAAACACTTCAAGCAAAGAAAAACACATTGGTCGCCTCTAATTTTGACTTTTCCCCCCTTTCCATTGTCCATAGGCTCAGGTAGAAATCAGATATTTAACCAAGTAAAATACAACTCCAGATAAATGGAAAAAGCAGATCAGCCAGAAAATGACAGAAACTACCACTAAAATTTCATCATACCTTCCCTCATTTTTCACAAAGATTAAAGCTTCCACACATAGGGATTCCCAACATTTAGCCAGATGTGACTCTAAAAAATATTTGGTACAACTCTAGGCATACAGTTGGTAAACTCCAAGCCCTATTTATCCCTGAGAGCATCCAATGATGGAAAAGACAAGGATCCTGATCTTAAGCAGCTACAATCTTGCCAGGAAGACCTTTCACCGTACTGAAACATAAATATTAGGCCTTGTATATTTTTAGCTGACTCCGGCCAAATTACAGATAAAAAGCCTGCTACTTGCGGCCTCAGCCCCACCTTGCTTATTCATTCATCCATCCATTCAACAAATTTTCATCCAGTGCCTCCGATGTACTGCTTACTATACTAAAATTAGAAACAGAAGGAAGCAAGAAAAACTGGGTCCTTTTTCTTTGGGCTTGCATTTGAGAGAAGTCTATAGGTGAGGTCCATTCAGAAGTCTCTTTGCCACTGTTTAGTAATATTGCCCCAATGCAGTGGACATCAAGCCCCAGCCTCCTTAGTCACTCCACGTCCAGGTAAAGCCAATCCAGCCTAAACACCTTCTGCTCAAAACCATTCTTCCCAATTACTCCTCGGAAGCTCTTGGTGAAATCAAGAGTCCAGCCTTAAACCTTACTGGCATTCTCTCTTCACCTGAGCTCCTGCAATTTCCTCACCCGCCTTTTCTCCCCCAAGACTAGACCCTGTATGCACATCGATCAGAGACTTCCCTGATGTACCTCTCAAACACTGACTACAAGAGCCACCACTAAAAACCTACCAAGGTATTTTTTTTTTTTTTTTATCCCACTGTGGCTCCTTCATGGAAAAGCAAAGGGTAAAACAATTTAACATGTTGTGTTTCTCCTTCCTAGCTAACTTCTGTATGCTTATTTTTCAATTGGAATCTGCATTATAATTTTGCATCCTACCTCTATCTCAACATAGCAAAAGTATCTTACGCTGTTTTGTTCATTAATATGTACTCATGAACATATATATGCATAATCCCATTTTAATAGCTGTAGAATGTTCTATCAATAATATAGCTGGCTGTATCACGGTTTACTTGACCTTCTCCTACTACTCCACATTTAGTCTGTTTATAGATTTTTCACCATAATGCTGTTTATTAATAAACACTGATACAAGTTTTGTCCCCATCTTTATTTCTCTGGCAGTGATTCTTAGACAAGAATCATTCAAGCACAACCACAAGGTATGAATTCACAGGTCGCCTGTGAATGTAGGTGACCACACTGATTTCTGTAAAGGGTAAAGTTTAAAAACATTCCATCTACTCACCAAACTACACTCCCGAAAAACAAACAACCCAGTGAAGAAATGGGCAGAAGATATAAACAAACACTTCTCAAAAGAGGACATCCAGATGGCCAACAGACACATGAAACGATGCTCAGAATCCCTCCTCATCAGGGAAATACAAATCAAAACCACACTGAGATACCACCTCACGCCAGTCAGAGTGGCTAAAATGAGCAAATCGGAGAACTCTAGATGCTGGCGAGGATGTGGAGAAACGGGCACCCTCCTACACTGTTGGTGGGAATGTAAACTGGTACAGCCCCTCTGGAAAACAGTGTGGAGGTTCCTCAGGAAACTAACAATAGAACTCCCCTATGACCCAGCAATAACACTGCTAGGAATTGACCCAAGGGATACAGAAATGCTGAGGCATAGGAGCACGTGTACCCCAATGTTCATAGCAGCACTCCCAACAATAGCTAAAACATGGAAAGAGCCTAAGTGTCCATCAACGGACGAATGGATCAAGAAGATGTGGTTTATCTATACCATGGAATACTACATGGCAATGAGAAACAATGAAATCTGGCCATGGGTAGCAACATGGATGGACCTTGCGGGTGTTATGCTGAGCGAAATAAGTCAGGCAGAGAAGGACAAATATCATATGTTTGCACGTATAGGAGGATTAGGAGGAACTTGACGGAGGAACAAGGGGGAGAAGAAGGGCGGAAATGGTGGGGGAAAGGGAGAGAGGCAAACCATGAGAGACTCTTGAATGCTGACAAAAACTGAGGACTGATGGATGTGGGGGGGAGAGGGAGGGGCATGGAGGAGGACACTTGTGGGGATGAGCACTGAGTGTTATGAGGAAGCTAATTTGACAATAAACTATTTGTAAAAAAAAAAACAAAAAAATAAAATAAAAACATTCCATCTCATTGCATCTTCACAAGTATTCATTAAAAAAAAAGAAGATATCTTGATAGGTAAAAAAACATTTATCACTGTTGTTTTAAACTACATTTCTTTGATTACTTACAAGGTTAAACTTTTAAAACATTCATTACCATCTGTATTTCACATAAGCTATCTCATAAAATCTAACCAAAAATGCAAAAGAAAATAGTACATTTATACTAAGTATAATAATCTTCTTACCACACTTTCCCCAAACTGCCTTTTAACTATACATGTTTTCATGAAGAAAATTAAGGATTTTTAACAGAAGCAAATCTTCTTTTACCATCCTTTCCTTTGTGATACTTCCCATTCTGCTAGGTTTAAAGAATGCTTCATCAACTAAAGAGTATATTATATAATTTATACTGTCTTCAAGTTTCTTATGGTTTGGCTTTTTAATTTTTGCACTAAATTTACTTAAAATTCTATGTGACAGGCATTGTGCCCAATGTTTGCCATACACTGTTTCATTTTAATATGCGTAAAGTCTTACTGTTTCCACTTTTAGATTAACCAAAACATGAAACAACTTGCTCATGGGCCAAACCAAGCCTCCATGGCTCCCAAGCCTAGGGTCTTTCCATACATAGCTTGGTTTCTTCCTTGATCCTGGATATTTAGAAAACATAACCACACCTGGATGGTACTCTCTGGCCTGGTCATTTTCCCCTGGCAATTACCAAACTGGTCTCCAAGGATAGTTATTGTGCCAGGCTGGGCCACACGCACATACCTACAATGTTCAGTAATCACACGCCCACAGGGCCACAGAAGTGGAAAAGGAAACAACTGCCTGCAGGGGGAGAGGTGCGGGAGGGACTGACGGTGGACAAGGCACCAAGGCTCAAGCTGAAGAGGGACAGGAACTGAACAAGCTGGGAATGGGGGAAGGGAATAGAAAGTGAAACAAACAACAGAAGCCAAAGGAAGGACAAGGGAAAAGGCAGAAAACAGAGTCTCCCTGTGTGGGCTGCAGTACAGCCCAAGAGGGAAATACCAAATACCACTAAGGTTTGAGGAGCACTTTCAAAACCGCTGCCATGTCCACTGCTTCACTGGAGAGGCAGGAATTATCACCTGCATTCGAAGATAAGGAAAGCCAGGCTCAGGGAAGTTGCGATTTGCCCAGCGTGGCTAGTAAGGGAAGGCAGGCTCTGAAATCGAGCTTTGGTTCTGAGTGCAAGCATTTCTCCACACTCTCCTCTGCTTTCTCTTTCCTCCTCCTTCCTTAAAGCCTCGCCCATCTTCTACAAGTTACCTGGATAACCGGATACGCGGTTGTCTGCGTCAACTCATAGGACAGCTGCTTCCCTGAATACCTTTATCTCACAAAGTTACTACCACTGCAGTCTCAGCGCCACACTACAGAATCAAGATTATGACTGAATGTGAAAGTGAGCAAAGCAATGAGAGGGAGAGGGAGGGGAGGGGCACAAAGAGCAGGGAGGGGAGGGAGAGGGAAAAGGGGGAAAACAGGGAGGAGGAGGAGGGAGAGAGGATGGAAAAAGCACACCTGTGTTTAAGAGAAGCTCAGTAAGTGCTTTACTCTCCCCTCATCAATTAGGTGGTTTGAAATAATGCTCTCAAACCAACAGACCTGACCACGGGCTCCCAACCATGACCCCTCTAGCTCTCTTTTAACGCCAGCACACTTAAGACAGAGTAAAGCCAGGGGCGCCTGGGGGGCTCAGTCGGTTAAACATATGACTTCAGCTCAGGTCATGATCTCACGGTTCATGAGTTCAAGCCCTATATCCAGCTCTGTGTTGACAGCTCAGAGCCTGGAGCCTGCTTCACATTCTGTGTCTCCCTCTCTCTCTGCCCCTCCCCAGCTCACAGTCTGTCTCTCTCTCTTAAAAATAAATAAACATTAAAAAAAAAAAACAGAGTAAGGCTAGTGTCTAACAGTGGTATCTGTGGAAGCAGATACCACAAGGCTCTTTACAATGAAAGACTGATTTCATTTTACTTAAAAAAAGAAAATGTAATTTCCTTTGCTTTGTAAAAAAGCAATGACCTGTTATAAAGGTGAATAATTCTGTAACTTATTAGAATCCTTATTTTAAAAAAGTCTGTATTCATCTCATTACTATTCTTGAAGAATATGTGTTAAAACAAAATGATCACCTCTAAATTATCAAATCAATGTCTAACAAAACATACCAATAGTGACATCCAATTAGTGATTCTAATAGAAAGGTCGGTGAATAAAGGCTTACCTCCAAAGGTGAGCTGCAAAGGAATCTTGTGAACTGCAGAGTCACATTTGAACAGAATCAGTTTCATCCAATAAATGGGCAGCAAGACAACAAAAAAAGGAAAAATTATTATTACATATTTTTTCAATAACAGCATCTAAAGTAAACCTTAAAGTCTATAAAATTAATGTTTTTGATACATTGTAGAAATTCATCCACAGGGAGAGAAAAGTTCAATCTAGCCCATAGTTGGTACCAAGCTATCTGTTTAGTTTAAATAAACATTTTATTTTTTAAGTTTTTTTAATTTTTAATAGTTTATTGTCAAGTTGGTTTCCATAACACCCAGTGCTCATCCCAACAAGTGCCCTCCTCCATGCCCATCACCCCCTTCCCCTGTACCCCACTCCCTAAATAAGCATGTTAAAAAAATTTGTACAAAAAAACAAATTAAAACACAACAAATTAATCCTAAAAGCTTTCATTTTTTAAAGTTTCATCTCACAGCCCTTCCAAAGGATGAGTAATCTTCCTGACCATGAAAGCCACTAGCAAACTTAAGTAAAGGCCAAGAGAAGGAAAAGACAGAAACTAAAGGGGAACCAAGAAGAGAAATAAAAACCCAAGACCAGGAGAGGAGGCTGGGTGAGTGAGAGTGAAAAGGGAGTCGCCCCCACCCAGGTGCCTGGCTGCAGCGACACCCCATTCCACCTTCCCTTCTCTGTGCAGCCTACGTGCACAGCTGTTCTCTCTGCTGTCTGACACACATGCAGGCTTACAGAACTTCAGCCCAAATGTTAAACATGCTAGGTGTTGTACATATGTGGTTCTCAGCATTTAAATGAAAAATCACAGGGGCGCCTGGGTGGCTCAGTGGGTTAGGCGTCCGACTTTGGCTCAGGTCATGATCTCACAGTTTGTGGGTTCAAGCCCTGTGTCAGGCTCTGTGCTGACAGCTCAGAGCCTGGAGCCTGCTTCAGATTCTGTGCTTCCCTCTCTCTCTGACCCTACCCTGCTCACGCTGTCTCTCTGTCTCTCTCTCAGAAATAAATAAAACATTAAAAAAATTTTAAATGAAGAAACATAAATTTTGAAGGGGCCGGGGGAACCATGGGCAGACCACAAAGCAAACTGCAGGTCAGCTCAGAAATGAAGACTGTCACATAATTTCATACATATTCATGATGATAATTCATAATGTTTTTTAGGTATCATTTATAAAATCAACATTTCAAATCCTTTGAGAGTTACTTGAGAGTTGCTGTAATAATAAAATGCCCAAGTAGTATAAACTCTTGATCTTTCTAAATGCAAAATAACCACAATAAAATGCAATAGCAGGCCTGTTTCCAAGCACTGTTGAACTGCCTCGCCACAACAAAGCTAGCTAGTACTCACAGGGAATACAGAGAATTTGATGCTCTTTTAGAGATACACACTGAAATATTTCTCAGTGAAATTACATGATGTCTGGGATTTCCTTCAGAATCACGCGGGTCAGGAGGGAACTGCTGTAGGGAAGTGTATAGATAGAACAAGACTGGCCGTTATATTAAACTGGCGAGGACAGCAGATGAATATATGCAGATTCATTATATGACTCCTACTTTGTAAATATTTCCATTTTTCTGCGATAAAGTTTAAAAAAGTATTATCAGACACTTCCTCTCCGCAACACTAAAGCAAATATATTTGTGAAATGTTACTAATGCACCCCAAAGCCATGTAATTAACTAGTATCATCTAGGCCCTAGGTGGCAGGGTGTACTTGAGTATTTTCTTAATTTAAACATCAATATGCAATTAGATTATATTAACTGTTAAGAGAACATTCTGAAAGTGCAAGATATACCAAAACTTTTTTTTTTTGAGTAAGCTCTATGCCCAATGTGGGGCTTGAACTCACAACCCCAAGATCAAAGTCACACACTCTACCAACTGAGCCACCTATGTGCCCCTAAGATATACCAAAACTCTCAGTTTTCATAATGTTGGTATGAAACAGTTTAATGCTTTTGAAATTTTAAATGCAACCTTGTGGTCTTGGAATCTTTTCACGGTCGCCCAACAAGAGACAACTGCTCCCACCCTGCCCCCCAGGAATAAAACGTGGGAACTGAAAGGCCAGCCAGCAGCAACAGTGGAGAAAAATGAGGTACCGAGAATCTGTATTTTAGAATGAGAAATGTGCTACTGCACGGTTTCTGTACTTTTCTCCACTATGTGCATGCTAACTATATTGCACACAATTAACTTCAGAACTTAGGAGTAGCTCTGGCTCAGAAGCAATTGATGTTTCAGTTAGAATGGAGGTTACTTTAAATAACAATAAAGAAGCATGTAAATTACTCTTCAGGAAAACTAAGGTCTCCTTGCAGCTCCAATAACATACATACACCCTTGTCGCAGGTGTATATAGTATTCCTGTCACAGCTTTTTCAAAACAGACCTAAAACTTCTCATCCTGTTTGAAGCTGCCAAAACATGACGTACTAATAAGTAAAAGTTCTCAATTCCCAAAGCCGTAAAAACAGGATAACAAATCACGAGGCGCACATTCACTCTCCTATCCAAAGTGACATGAGAAAGGTCCAAAAATGCTGCTTCTTCATCAGCACACCAGAAAACCCACTGCTAGTGCCCTTCATTTAATTAGTAAATTCTTTCATTGTGAAATTATACATTATATTCAATACAGATGGCAGTACTTTGGAAAAGAACTATAATAAAGCAAATATAACTGCAAAATCTGTTGCGTACATACACATACACTGTACCTGACAGTAGAAATAGATACGTATTATCTAGAAGTAGAGGCCTTCTAACAAAGAGCATCACAGTGTCTGATCAGTATCAAAACAGCTTAGTGTTACCTTTAAAACAACAGATTATGGCCACAGTCAGCAGCCCACATTAATATGACTTTTCTAACATAGTTACAATCATGTGGCTATTTTAGAAATATTACGTTACGGGCACAGTTAGCTAGTAAGTTTAAGGGAAAGATTTTATTTTAGATATTTAGGCAAAATGTTGAAAAACAAATAATATGTTTATAAAGTATCTTACTGATTTTACAGACGGGAATGTACTTCATCATTGCAGAAACAACTGAACGTACATATAGCCTTAGTCTTTATCTTTCTATTTTAAAGACTACTTCTAAGAAATGTCAACTTAATATCACTGAAAATAGAATAATCTGCCCGATACTTGGCTTGTCAAAAGCAAACAGGTAAGGTTTTCCATAACAATACTAATAACATTATTACTTGGGACTCACTTGCTAAAATTCACAAAAATGCTGTCAATTATTCTGTCTACTCTTGATTTTTTTTTTTTAAATAAGGATTATGTTCTATATTTAGCATCCTTGAATAAAGGGCATCAGTACCAGTTAAAAAATCTTCCAGGCCTCTAAAAAGGGGAAAAGGATAGACCGAGAACAGTTCTCATGTTCCACAGCTACTTAACTGACCTTGCTTCTCTTCTAAGCGTTCTTACTAACTTACCACTTCCAGCCATCTCGGTAGCCACGTCGTAACATGTCATTCCTTCCAGAGAAGCACTTAATGCTTACCAAAGTTTTCTCAACAGTTTTCCAAGCACACAAAATTGTAGTTCAGCTTCCTGTCAGTTATGATTAGCAAGTTCTTTCTTTTCCCAAGACTTGCTATTAACCCTGCCAGTTATGCTGGTGGAGGGGTGGGGGCAGGTCAGGCAACAAAAGGGAATGTCCACTACCGGTTTTGTCAAAATATCCCTGTAAAACTATAACCATCTATTCATCTTCATAGTATAGGACACTCAACACATACGTAATTTAAACTCCTATGTTCCTGAAATGCCTTTTCGGTTTAATCAGGAACCATGTTAAATTCCTATATGTTAACAAAAAAGGAACACTAAACAGCAATTTTTACAAGATAAGCCACAATTTTTTTCCTAAATCTAAGAACATCAGTGAGTTCTACCTATTTGTCAAAGTGCAATTCAAATCTTTCTCATAACTACTCATAAAGATTACTCAAAGTGTCCTTGCATTAATAAAATATTTCTGCCTGTTTTCCTGGCCTATCACCCTCACACAGGCTACTTACTATCTTACAGACTGTCAGGGGAGAAGTCTAACTATTTTAGGGTATAAGCTAATAAAACCTTTATTTAAAATCTAAATCAAACCTCAATGTAAAATACTAAGTTTTTCTATCATAAATTTGGAAGTTTTAGTTCCAAAACTAACTCTATTCAGTTAACACATTAACTATATTATATATTAACTACCTACCTATATTCAGTTAATATATTCAGTACACAAAGTGTTAGACTCCCTTCCCATTCTCCCACAGCTGCTGGTACATATCTGTACTATTGTAAGTGGACTATTTTAAGGCAGTGCAAAAACTACGTTTGATGTTAAGAATGTGTTTCTTGTAAATCTATAATTCTTAGAAATTAATTTGATTCCACAAAAAGTTTCATTATTTCATTTCACTGCCAGAAAACAAAACCTTCAAAAGCAGCCTATAGAGCTAATACCCATTTAAAAAGTCATCCAGGGAATGAAAATTAAATCTGTACTTAGCAGGGAGTCACAACACAGTTTGAGAGCCAAAAACCTGTTTACCCTAATTTTAGTGAGGAGTAAAAAGAACAGATTCGGGAAACCCTGAAATTCATTTCTATAGCCATTCTCTCTCTCCCACCTGTTAGCAGAGGGAGGGGGAGCAGAAAGGACTAACTACTTGCACTGCCTTGTTTCGTTAGACCTGAGTGAGACCTTTGGGACTAGTTACTGAGCTTCAACAAATCTTAAAAGATGACAAGGAAAATCATATTTACATCCTAACATTTAAACCTATGTCTTCTGAGCCACTAAATGAACTTTTTTTGCTGATGGGAAGAACAGTCGAAGAGCTGGTCTGGAACCCCACTGGGTCTACCTACTTGAGTGACTTTAGTTATCTGGGCTCCAGCTTTCTCTCTGTAAGATGATTTTCAGCCTAACCAGTTTCACCGGCTGCTACCCTGTGGCACACCAAGTTTCCATGGCC